TTATTATTATTATTATTATTATTAAATTTAATTAGTCTTTGACTTTATGTTGTGGTTGTCCAGTATGTAACTACTTGTATCTACACTGTGCTGTGTCTGTAATTGGCCTTTTGGCTCAGCACATAAATAATAAAGAATTAGATTGAATTACTATTATTATTATTATTATTTTCTTTAATAAAGAGTTGGACATTATTACCTGAAAATAGCTTATGCTGGAAGATCCATGCAGAATTCCGAGTTTATATCTCCCATTGTTTAGGAGTCCTTGAAAATCATCGAATGGCATTTCGTAACGCCTCGCAGTGAGGAAGGAGATGAAGGTGGCCGAGTATGCTGCAAATAGCACTACAGCCGTGAGATGCGACGTGCTGCATACCAGGCGAGAGGACCAGGAAATCGGCCCGATAGTGTGACCTGTAGGGTGATTCGATATCAGGGTCGTTGTGGTAATCTATTAGCTAACTTCATGGAGCTGAGCCCTTCTTAAGAAGCTGCCAATTGTACAGCTACTCAAGAATTTCCCTGCATTTCATGGAACCCGAATGTTCAGTACCGTATTCACAAGAGCCATCCACTGCTCCATATTCCGAGCCAGATCAATCCAGTCCATACCACCCTATCCTATCTCTCTAAGATCCATTTTAATATTGTCTACACACCTACACCTAGGTCTTCCCAGTGATCTCTTTCCTTATAGCTTTCCCACCAATATCCTATACGCATTTCTCTTCTCCCCCATTCGTGCTACCTACCGTGCAACTGCAGATATATTATGTCTTATTATTATTATTTTGTAATTTCTCTTTAGTTTTGGCTTCTGTTCTCATGGCGCTCTGGCCATTAAAATATATATAGCCATTGGCCAAGTCCTGACGCGTGTGCCGTTGTTACTGTTTGTCTTAATTTCGGCTGATGATTTGTGTTGTCTTTGATTTACTTGTATACATCCTGCCTTGTTTTGGTATATATATCAGGAGATGAGAACTTATTGTATCGGTTAGGCTTAACTGAATAGGTTCCACCTGAAGACGGAGACAGAATTCAGTCTCCGAAACATTGTGTTTTTAATAAAAACAGGACGATGGATAATGTCCAGAAAAACAACACATATATGAATGTTCCATCGTCACTAACTTTTAGATCTTGTGAACACGGTAATGAACATTCGGGTTTCATAAAATGCTGGGAATTTCTTGAGTGACTGAGCGACTGTTGCATTCTCGTTGAGTCAGTCAGGGAGCCATAGTAACGCATGCGCAGATACAACTCAAATGGAGTTGAGGGAGCTCTCACCTTGTTGACAGAACGCTCCGAACACGTAATGCCAGGTGTTCTGGAGACTGAAATGGCGGGTTACATCAGCAGTTTTGCAACTGCACTTCACACTTACGGACGAAGTTGTCACTAAAAACACTGTGAGCACAGCCATAGCCACAAGAACACTCAACCAGAGGTCGAGTGCAAAAGGCAACAGCACATGGCGAATTGTATTCATCTCCATTTTCTCTCTTCTTATGTATATAGTCATCCTGCAGGAAAGGAAATTCATGTAAACTGCATTTAGTCATCACCATTATTATTATTATTGTTATTATTAAGATTTATGTTAATGATATTATTATTATGTTGTTTGTTTGTTTGTTTACTTGTCCGCATTAATGCGTTTCTCCTCGAGTGCTTGCCTGTAATTTGTTTTGACTTTATGTTGTGATTGTCCATAATGTAATTGCTTGTATCTACACTGTGCTCTGTCTGTAATTGGCCTTGCGGCTGTTGACTCGGCACATAAATGATAAAGAATTGAATTGAATTGTTATTATTTTCAGTGCTCGCCTGTTATAGGCGGGGCACGCAGTAGCGTAGTTGGTTGGGGCGCTATGCTACAAGCAGGAAGGTCGCAGGTTCGATTCCCGATGAGCTCAGAGGACTTTTCAATTGACGTAATCCTTCCAGCCGCACTATGGCTCTGGGATCGACTCAGCCTCTAACAGAAATGAGTACCAGGAATCTTCCTGGGGGGTAAAGGGCGGCCGGCACGTAAGGCTGACAACCTCACCGCCGTCTCTGAGCCGATTTTCTAGAAAATGTAAGAGTCTGTTTTTATTATTGCTGCTGCTTTTTGTCTCTGTAAGTTAACTGATCACTGTTTTCTTTTGTTTTTATCCTGTGTTTCTCTCTTCCTGCTGTTTTTTGTATGCGTGCTGACATTGTAATTGGATTCTGTAACTGTTGAGTCAGCACGTGAAATTTAAGGATTTACTTCAGCTGAATTAATGGTGACAGTATTATTATTATGGTACTAGGATGTTCTTGCATATTTTTACCATACAATTTGGCAAATATTTCATGGGAGTATTTTTTTCACATTTTTTTGCTGATGGTACGTAGAATACTCTATCTCGAAATGTTTTTTTACACTTTAAACCGCAATGGTAACTACGTACCACCTCCTTTAATATCTATATATTATGATATTTGCCTACCAAGTGTATGTATATGTTAAGGTATGTATTATTCTGAGTATAATCATAATTTCAATGAACATTAGTAATAACTTCGACACAAAGTTATTGATGTGGTTTATTAATTACGCGGCCACTGTGAACAGCTGATAAGTTCTTACCTAATAGAAAACACACCATTCTACATTAGAAAAGTCACTCGGTTAACTAACATTCTCTAGGAAAATAATCATAATTTATTTTGAGAACCATGCCAGTCATACGAACACATTCTGTTGGCAAAATGCTGGGGTTTTAATGCCAAAACAGATGATATACAGGGTCATGGTTACGTTGACGGTTAATTCATTTTGTGCAGTGGCAACTTAAAAATGTTATTTTTACTTATATGTAACCTTACTGTCCGTCGGAATAAAGATGTCACTGAGCAGGTAAAGTGGGGGAAGTTGTACAACTTGCATATCGCAGGAGTGGTGACCATGCGCACTGAGGTCTCTATTCCGAAAGTCAGTGCTCCTCTTACTTGTCATTTAAGATGGGCGGTAGGAAATCTATTGCGTCCATCCGTTCATTGGTCATGGCAAGAATATTAATCCCAACTTCAGCTTGTCTCTTAACTAACTCCTCAACCAAGCCGTGCCAGGTTCCATTGTCGTCCTTGTAGCCGAGCATCCCGTTCTCGCTCCGGTAATACGAATTTCTGTTAATATTGTGACATGTAAATCCATTGTCAGACAGCGCCCGAAACACATACACGGCCAACAGTATAGTGCTTTCTTTGTGTCTGTGCAGCTTGCGCATGCGCAATGAGGTTACGCAGCATTGCTTAGAAATCACGTGATATGCGTTTATTGTAGGTCCAACCAGAGTGTCAATGGACTGACTGCATAGCGATCACGTGATGTGTTCTCTGTAGGTTCATGTCCGTGCCACTTGTATATAAGTGAGCAGAATTCATTAGCTGAGCAGTAAGCAGCTAGGGTACAGCAAGCAAACAGTAAGCTGGAGGAGTACAGGAAGCAACCAGTAAGCTGGAGGAGTACAGGAACCAAGCAGTAAGCTGGAGGAGTACAGGAACCAAGCAGTAAGCTGGAGGAGTACAGGAACCAAGCAGTAAGCTGGAGGAGTACAGCAAGCAAGCAGTAAGCTGGAGGAGTACAGCAAGCAAGCAGTAAGCTGGAGGAGTACAGCAAGCAAGCAGTAAGCTGGAGGAGTACAGCAAGCAAGCAGTAAGCTGGAGGAGTACAGCAAGCAAGCAGTAAGCTGGAGGAGTACAGCAAGCAAGCAGTAAGCTGGAGGAGTACAGCAAGCAAGCAGTAAGCTGGAGGAGTACAGCAAGCAAGCAGTAAGCTGGAGGAGTACAGCAAGCAAGCAGTAAGCTGGAGGAGTACAGCAAGCAAGCAGTAAGCTGGAGGAGTACAGCAAGCAAGCAGTAAGCTGGAGGAGTACAGCAAGCAAGCAGTAAGCTGGAGGAGTACAGCAAGCAAGCAGTAAGCTGGAGGAGTACAGCAAGCAAGCAGTAAGCTGGAGGAGTACAGGAAGCAAGCAGTAAGCTGGAGGAGTACAGCAAGCAAGCAGTAAGCTGGAGGAGTACAGGAAGCAAGCAGTAAGCTGGAGGAGTACAGCAAGCAAACAGTAAGCTGGAGGAGTACAGGAAGCAAGCAGTAAGCTGGAGGAGTACAGCAAGCAAACAGTAAGCTGGAGGAGAACAGCAAGCAAGCAGTAAGCTTGAGGAGTACAGCAAGCAAGCAGTAAGCTTGAGGAGAACAGAAGAGTACAAGAAGTCAGACTGTGGAGACTTAACGTGTAATTTGAAGACTTTACGTGTGCTACAGTGCAGTGATGTTAGGAGTGTGTGAAGTAGTGGGACTCTTATAGTTCCTGTGTTATAAATCCGTAAAGATATTAGCGTGGAGTGCTTCTTAGTGTGAAAATCAGCAACATTGTAATAATTAATTGTAGTTATGACCTATAGGTGACTAATAAATCTAATTACCAATCCGAACCCCGTCTTTAGTCACTGTGACACTTGACAATATTTACAGTTTCTGAACAGAGTTAAATATTGTTTCCCTTACAATACTGCATTTGTTAATTGCTTACGGACGAGTGCCTTATAAAGTAGTTTACAGACAACTGTTGATGTTATGTCCTTGGGTCCTTGAACCCTTTGGATATGGATAGTGTTCCTGACGTTACAGAGCTATATTCTATCTCCA